ACTTGCTCTGTTTATATATTTTTATTTTATTTTAATTTTCAGTATTTAAAAATTAAGTGCGTCTTAACGTTCAGTGCGTCTTATGGAGCGAAAAATACGGGTACATTATCTCAATTTCCTCTTCTTTGACTATCCCCAGCCTAACATACAGATGCAGGTAAAAGTAATGTGAAAATGTCAGTTTCTAGTAGAAAAGAGGGTTTGGGTAGGTTTTGATTTCTGGATAAAGTACTACATAGTGAGTAGAAACTGAAATGAAAAAAACACATCCCCCCCCAAAAAAATTGCTACTTCCTCAAGCTCTTAAAATCGGAACAAATGAATTCTGATGAAATCTGGGAATACACATACAGTATATAGAAGTATTTCCTCCAGGAACCAACTCCTACTCTATATTTTCTTCATCATTGTACAGAATCGGGTATTTCGATTCTAGTAACAACTGCAATTGAAGAAGTAGTTAATGTCAATTATATAAGTCTGCTGAGCATTCCTTAGAGAAATGCTTTTACTTTTGGAATAGTAAGGGTTTTATTTTGTTTTGTTACTTGAATGACTCTTTGGTTTAGTAACAATTAGTTCTACTACAATAAAGAAATAGCATGAATAAAATGAGGATATTCAGAAGCAAAATTCTGCTTTACAGCCTAGTGTGACTTAGAAAACACTATGGAAAAAAACATGCCTGCCCCATGTGGATTTGTGGATTACTGCTTATTAGGAATCTTTAAAAAAAAAACACCAGCAATTAAATTAGAATACTATAATAAGAATCCACATAACTTCTTACACAAACTCAGATACTCTGGGGGTAGAGTGGGGACTGGCACTGGGGGAAAAACAGAACAAGGAAGAGTTATTTTGCAAAAAACGTTGCTAACTCTTTGCCAGTTTTGCCAACATTTTTTGTAGTGCTTCATTTTCTGAAACCTTCAGATAGCTGCTCAATAAAATTGGGATTATTTACCTCCCCCATATTGCTATACTCATAGTGATGATGGAAGGTGCAGACATGTGTGTGCAAACACACAAAAAGCGGGCATGTGTGTGTGTCCAGGACAAAATAAACATAAAATGGAAATCAATTAAAGCCATTTAATTTAAATTTAACATTTTAAAGCCATCTTGTGCATAAGGTGGGGTGGGGATGTTGTTTTCCGGTTCCCCAATGCCCAAGATTAATGTTAAAAGTAATGGCTGCCACAAGGAAATGAGATGAATGGTTAAAATTAGAGTAACAATCCTATGCACACTTGCCCTAAGAGTAAGGCACTATAGCAACTTGCTGTAAACCAGTTAAACTTTCTGGAAACATAACATCAAGTATTAACCATTAACTATTCTGAAAAAAAGCTCATTAAAATGCGAAATTTTGAGAAACATGCACCGTCTTTGGAAAAATCTGCAAAACCAGATGAAGTCAGGAGTACAGTGGTGCCTCGCTTAACGATGTTAATTGGTTCCATAAAAAAAATAGTTATGTGAAAACATTGTTAAGTGAAACACCATTTCCCATAGGAATGCATTGAAAACCGGTTAATCTGTTCCAATTGGAACAGATTAATGCTTGCAATCATTAGCCCACCTCCTGAAACCTATGCAAACTTAATTTGTTGTTGTTCTGAGTCGTCGTTAATTTTTGGTGATTTTTTGTTTTCTCTCTCATTGAAATGCATTGGATGGACAGTTCAATAGAGTTCAATGAGGGAAAAACAAAAAATCACCAAAAATGAACGATGACTCAGAACAACACCAAATTAAGTTTGCATAGGGTTCGGGAGGTGGGCTAACGATTGCAAGCATTTAAAACAGGTTTCTAACAGTTTAAGACACTTTTACAGGAGCGAAAAAGGGACATCGTTAAGTGAAATTCCCCCATAGAGAACATCGTTAAACGATGGGGGAAATTCCTCAAAGAAACCCATTGCTGTGTGAATTCATCGTTGTATGAAGCAATCGTTGTGCGAGGCACCACTGTATTTGTGCAATTCCTGAGTTACTACAGGATGGAACAATGAGATGTTCTTTACCTTGTGGTGGAGCAACACACCAGATCCTTTATATACCCTGTTAGCCATTCATAGGGTTAGGAAGATGGTCAGTGATTTGAACTGAGGGAAAAGAGTGAGCTGTTGGTGGCAGAATCAAAGGTATGAATGAAAGATGAACTCTCATTGAAGTCCCAGGTATTCCTGGACACTCTAATCATGGAGGTACCAGAGAAGGCTCAGTCTGATGACTCCAAAACATGTGTGTATTTGTGTACTTGTGGCTGTTCTGCCAACCATGTTGTAGAACTATAGGCTGAAGAGAACAATTCTAATGACGTATAGAGCTCCTTTTTGTATTCTGGAGTATTTGTTTTCAGAATTCTCTCAGGCCACTTAGTTTACTAAAGGTAACTGAACTGTTATTATTACACAATTAGGTTTGCGTATGTATGTGTGCGAGAGTGTGGAAGGATGCTCTCAACTGCTCTCACAATAAGGGCACAAAATATGCTCCCCACCCCCAGTCATAGACGTGTGTTTCCTTTGCTTCAAAACAGAGACCAGGAATTACACAGATAATGTTACAGACCCAGGGGCAGTGTGTGTCATCTTGTGTTACCCATGATACGTGCACATGAGGAGTGTGCAGAAGCCCTAAAACCTGGTCTGTACCCAAATAAAAGGCACATAGATTGGGCCAAACCACCCTGTACCTTTGAAGAAACAGGCCATTGAATCAGTGAAGATTTGATGAGTCAGTTCCTCTGGGTCTGACTCTAGCTGCAACTTACTACTGTATGTTAAGCAAAAGGATTTTAAACCACTGTCTCTTAAAAGGTACTGGGTTGACCCCAATCTGTATGGCCATTTTTTGGGTACAGCGAAGATTTGGGGGCTTTTGCATTCTCCTGATGTGCACATACTATGTGTGATACAAATGTCACACACTGTGACACCAAATTACTTTTTGTTATACATACACCTATTGCATTTGAAGCAGCAATACTAGCCATCAAAGTACCAATTCAAGCAAGCAGCATGGGTGGGGGCATAGGAAGTCTTTTTCTATGTGCAGCATTTAAGAAAACACATACATACCTTAACATCAAAATAATATAATTCCTCAACTAGTAATGGATTGTGAAAAATTAATTGAGCCTTTTTGGTTATAGCTAAGAGGAATTAAACAAGTTAACTAGGCAAAATAATGACATCTGTACTTGTTATCACAAGATTTTCTTTTTAATACAGACTGTGACAAGCAATATCAAAGATGCTAACTCTCAAGCGCCATATTTGGAAACCAGACAACTTTCAGTAACAACACATAGTAGGCATATTGTAATTTTAATTAAATATGAAAACATGAGCTGTGTACATTATTTTCCCCTAAAAAAACACAGCAATTTCAAAAAGTTTTATTGTAAAATCTTTCCATGAAATGAGTGAACCAGCAATACATGCACTCAAGTGCCTCTCCCTCTGGAAAAAAATGTGATAAGGAATATATAGAGACAGATGAGAAAATTGACTCATGATAGCACAATATAAGGATGGGATGTAACATTGGATTCCATTTCCTATGTCTCAAAAAGAAGGGCTGGTGGAACCAGTTCATATTTTGTATAATATTCTTTAAATTTTCTATTTATGCTTCAATCTCGGAGAAAAATACTTTTTTTCCCTATAATAAAATATGTTTGTTTAAATGTAACTTTTTCCCCAGAAAATAATTTTGTAAACTGTCGTTTGTCAGGGGTACGATATACTATTTGATTTCAACATTCTCCTCCCTCTTCCCTCCCCCCCCAAGGCAATCTGTTAGTTTAAGTGGAAAGAGGAACGTGACAGGGAGGCATAGCAGAGCTTGCTTTGCAGACAGAAAGAAAAGTGCGCCTGGATGGGAGAGGGTAAGGATGTGTGGTGGATAGAGAGGTGATAGTTAAAGGTCACTTTCGCCATAAAGAGCTGTAGAGAAAGACATGTAGTCCAGGGCACCAGGTACAGAATCCATCCCAGTGTAAGGTGCCATTCTAGCAATACAATATTCGGCTTGATCAGGAGGCAGCTCCCGTCGTAATTCATCCACAGTGATATAATTCTGAAAAACAAAACAGATATTTCTTTTTTCCATTTTAACTGGATGAGGCCAACATAGTTTTATTAATACGAGTAGAACTTATTTCTATTTGAAATGGAAGCTTTATTTTATTAAACGTTTTGTTCAACTCTTAACTTTTCTTGGGTGGAGGAGGGGGAATCTTTTATAAGAGACACTAATACTTTGTGTTCTATGGAAGCTGTACACTACATTATTTTGTTATAATATCAAAATTCTTACCAGTTTTGAATAATGGACAGCTAAATGGATATACTTGTGAAGAAGAGCTCCTACAGTGCCTTTCAAGTATTTAAGAAGCACTTTAGGTATCATCTTTACAATCATCACCCTGCAAGGTTTGTGTTTCTCCTACCCAGCACACATTTAACTCTTCACACTTCCCAGCATAACACTGGAATAGAACTTTTATTGACTACTGCATTACTCAGCTTTAACACTTCAAAATTCCATTCCTTGAGTTCTGAAGAGTATTTAGCCTGGTCTTTGTAAAGATTTTTGCTATATTGTTCCATCAGAATCTGGGATTTAGGGGAGACTGGTGGTCTTATCAGAATCTGTTACTCTTCCACATGCCTACAGTACTGGGGCAATAATTTGACTGCTACTATGTTTGAGACCTCAGCCTAGACCCCTTTGCCACCACTGCTGAAGATGTGGTAGTTTCTCTCAATTCCTCAAAAATATTAGACAAGATAGATCATGTATTCATACATATATAAAGGCATCAGGGGATAAGACAAATGTAGATTGTAGATGCCTTTGTACATGTCCAAGTCATACAGTTGTTCTCATTCAAACAGACTATGGGCATCTCTATACATACTCAATTCATCCAGCTGTTCATAGTTGTGAGACCACTGTTGAAGCTAAGTGAACTGTGCAGGCAGAGAGACACTTGAGGTCTTTCCTAGACCATCATGTCCACTGAACTTGGTTTTGTCACCTCTTTAGTATGCCAATAAAGATGAAAGTAGGCTTCTAGAAATATCTGCAAACTAATTTGGGTGGTTCAGAGAAGTAAATAAAACCAGAGCTTTCCCACAATTCCTCTTTGAGCTGAATGGCCATAATGATCTTTATTGAAAACACCTAAATGTTTATTTCATATACATTTTAAAGCAAATCTGAAATGAGAGCTGTGTGTTATTATAAGACTATAAGTACCCCATTTGAGTCTGAACTCACTTTATCTCCAGCCAGGATCTTGAAAGAAGCCATCACTTGATCAGCTGTATCCGTATCTGCTGTTTCCCTGGACATGAAGTCAATGAAGGCTTGGAATGTCACTACTCCTATGCGGTTGGGATCAACAATGCTCATGATACGAGCGAATTCTGCTTCTCCCTAGACAGTGAGATAACACGTAGCAACAAATCAATCTACTGGCCATAGAGAAGGACAAAATGCTCCCTAAGTCAGTGTTCTCAAACCCAGTGCCCTCCAGATGCACCATACAAAAAATCCTGTCTTCCTTAATCAGCATGGCCACAGGAAATTCAGCATTATATCATTTTCCATGTTACAATTGCTTGCTTAATGTGTAAACTAGCAACTCCCCAAGTTTATTTATTTTACTATCAGATTTATATCATCTTTTTTCAGAGACAGAGGCGAAAAAGCAAACTATATTTGGATTTTAAAAATTTATACTATTTCAATAGATTGTATACAGTACTTCATTTCCTTGTTATGAAGAGTGTGGAAAAAAACCCACCTGTTTTCCCACATTACATATGATCTTTTATTTTCTTACTTTTCCTAGCCTTAGCTCAACTGAGCTACTCACACCAGCAGAGACACAAGCAGTCAGAGAGGGTATGGAGCTAAGGTCCATAATTTCAATGCAGTAAAACAAGGCACTGGGGCCTTGAAACACAGAAACTGACTTCTATCCACTGAATATCTGGCACTTTCAGGGATAGTGTCCATGGGGGCAGAAAACTGGCTCACCCAGACCTGATATCACTAATACTGAAATATAGGTGTTAACTCAAAGCCAGTCCAGCTTTGTTTAATGGGGCTTATTTCTTAGCATTTATACACAAGATTGCACTCCTAGTCCCCTTGAAACCAACAGAATGAGTGATTGCATAGCTAAATTATTGATTGATTTCAATATTTACTTAGAAGTTATTCCAGCAAGTTCAACACATTTCCAAGTTATGTGTATGTATGACTGATGTACCGTATAAGGGCTAAGATGCTCATGACTGGCTATGTGGTTAGCCGCCTAGAGTGGTCGCAAGACCAGATAGGCGGGATATAAATAGAATAAATAAATAAATGTTACTGGTGGAATCTGCATAATTGGGTCTTAACCACCACCACCACCACACTATTTTTGTATTTTTTTGTTTCCATGATTTACTCTTCCTCTGCCAGCCTGTGCACACAGTGGAGATGGCAGATGTTCTGGCAGTATAGCCATGGTACATTTCTGATGCTGGTATACTGTCAATGTAGTGCTGTGATTTGACACAAAGAAACTTCTTTATGCACATTTCATTGGGCATAAGTCATGCTCAATGCAGGAAAACTTGTTTGCACAGTAAGCACTAAACTATAAAAATATATTCACGAAATAGCAAAGGCTTGGCTAAGGGAACTATATTCTTCTATTGATAGAACATTACTGCTAGTATAACAGAATAGATACATAAAGGTACAATAAATCTTGAGAAGTCACATTCAGTATTTTACAATTAAATTAATATATTTATATTGCTGATTTTGCAATGGGTTCTATTGAAAAAAACTATCTTTAATTTCCAATTTACTTAAATGTCACTTTTGCAAAAACAACAGATCATGAAAAAAGACAGTTTAAATCCATATAACATTCTGTTTTTCCTTCCAAAATATAGTTCACATTAAGTCATTCTAATTTTTCAACAATATGCCATTGCTTCCATTCCAGAGACAACTGTGAGATGAACATGTTAAAATCATGGGGCTGATGTAGCTTTGCTTTGTTTCACTGAACACATGCTATTCCTTACAATTATACAACTGAGAAGAAAACTTAGAAGTGCCTCTACGTTACCGTATTATAACCAATGGAGATAAGGTAGGTGTGGAAATCTTCACTATCCATCATGCCAGTCTTCTTCTACAACAATAATTCAAGGATGGAGGAATAAAGAAGAAAGAAAGAGGGAAACATGGAAAGCAGTCCAAGAAGATAAAGAATGTTACAAAGAACAAATTGGCATAAAGGAAAAATAACAGACATGGTGTATTGAGGAATGAAACAAAACAGTACAGAAAGCAAAAGATTGACATATTCCATTGAAAACAAAGATAGAAAAATTGAAGGTTAAGCAAAAAGAAACAAGGTGTGGAGACAAGAGGAGAAATGTTTAGGGAATTGGAATGTTTAATAAGAACCAAAGGAGAGATTTAAAGATGTGAACAGAAAGAACAGAATTGTGATAACATGATTAGACATAGAAATATACACAACAAAATATAAGAAAATTGACAGCGGATGGATTAAAACAGAAAAGAAGAAGAGGGGAAAATTGTTATTTCCTAACAGTTCGATATTTGGAGGTGTTCCCCCCTAGTATTCAGTACCTGTGCATCGTTTCCAATATCGTAACCCAAGCTGATGAGGCAGGCTTTGAATTCCTCAGGGCCAAGTGTGCCGGAGTGGTCCTGGTTATGCAGTGCACCAGGCAGCCGGACATGCAGTGCCAGTGGGTGTAGCGATATCATATGGCCAGAAAGAAGGGAGGGAAAAGAGGTGGTGCACCGTGCAGTGGATGAAGAAAGAGAAGGAACGGGGGAGTGGCATGCAGAAAAAGACAGGGGAAGAAATAAAAGGTGCACAAAAGTTAGATAGTATGTTGACATTTCAAACCGTGGTGATGTTTTGCGTTTATAAAAATGCACTTATTTCTCACAAAACATGGCCAAATCTGGCCAAAGGTCTACACATATTAACCATGGTTTATAGCAAGCTGTGAAGACTGTTTTCCCTCAGACCTCCTTTGCAATCATTTATGTTTTCTTCAGGAACTTTAGAAGTGCAGTAAATAACCCCAGTCTGCAGAACAGCAGGCAGAGGGGACGGGCATTTGACAACAATCTTGCTACCAGAGCAAGAGTTACAGGGACCACATAGCCAATCTGTTACAGCAGCTCCACTGGCTACCAATCTGTTTCTGGACACAACTCGATGTGCTGATTCTAACCCATAAAGCCCTAAATGGCTTGGGTCCAAGCTATCTCAAGGGCCACATTTCCCTTAACGAGCCTGCAGGGGAGGCTTTCTCTTGGTCCACCACCCTCATAAGTGCATTTGGTGAGGACGTGGGAGAGGGCCTTCTATGTCGCTGCACCCAAATTCTGGAACTCCCTCCCATATCTTGCTTGTGGGTGGGGAAAACACCAAACAGTGAATGCGAGTGATGATAAAGAGAAAGTGTGAGATAGGGGATTCATGAATTGAATTCAGTTTGTACAGCTATTGTGTATTCCCAGTTATCCCTTCCTTTCACAGTGTTCAAGATAAATTGTATTTCATCTGGATTCTGTTACTTGAGCTGGGCATTGTACCTCTTGCTTTTTAAGGCAAAACCCATGTGGAAGGCAGAATGTGAAGTACAGGTAGCATGGGCAGAAGCTGGTGCTATTGCTGAATCCAAGACATAACTAGTTGCCGAAAGCAATCTGCTGTTGATATCTTGGGCGACAGTGGGACATTGACTTTAAATGTATAAAAGGTATAAATCCATTAACAGAAGTATAGTCTCCAAATCCTGTGAGGTACTAATTCCCCTCTATTCAGCACTGGTTAGGCCTCAATTTGAGTGCTGTGCCCCGTTCTGGACACCACATTTCAAGAAGGATGCTGACAAATTAGTTCAGAGGACGGCCACAAGGATGATCAGGGGGCTCTTATGAGGAAAGGCTGAAAGAATTGGGCATATTTAGCCTTGAGAAAAGAAGACTGTGGGGAGAACATGATAGCAGTTTTTAAATATTTGAAAGGCTGTCATACAGGGGAGGGGCAGGTTCTGTTCTTGATCATCCCAGAATGCAAGACACGCAACAATGGGCTCAAGTTACAGGAAGCCAGATTTTGGTTGAACATCAGGGAACATGTCCTAACCATTAGAGCAGTACGACAGTGGAACCAATCACCTCGAGAGGTGGTGAGTGCCCCGACACTGCCGGCATTCAAGAGAAACTTATGACAACCACCTGGCAGATCTCCTTTGATTTGTATCCCTGCATCGAGCAGGGGGTTGGACCTGATGGCCTTAGAGGCCCCTTCCAACTTCATTATTCGAGGATTCTGTGGTAGTGTACTGGCAAAAGTTGTCTTTCCCATGCAGAAAGTGCAAGTTCAGTCTTGATTCCAGCAGCAATATTGTACACTCACATAATGGGCTGGGGAGAAATAATCCTTTGAGCAGGCATGTGCAGAGTATTTTTGCCAGAGTGAGTTATTGGTTACTCTGGAAATAAATCTGTAGATAAGATGAGAGCTTGTCTGTGAAGCAACTCAAAAATAAATGAAGCCTGAGAATTAAGACAGATTAATCCCATGTTTGGTATGGCCAGGAAAACACATTACGGCAATTTCGCAATAATTTGTAAAGTGTCTATGAGGGAACAACTGAGAATCAGTCAGCTAAAATATTAAAACTTCTTATGGGGAAACCCCATCTGAGTTACTAAGGAAACTGCCTTACACCGAGCCAGACCATTTGTTTTTTTAGCTCAGGATTGTCCACCCTGACTTGCACTCGCTCTCCAGAGTTTGAGGCAGGGTTTTTCCCCAGCCCTGCCTGCAGGTGCTGGTGACTGAACTGCATGCAAAGCATGTGCTCTATCCCTCAGCCACAGCCCCTCTCTCTTACTCTGTCAAAGTGGTTGAAAGAGGCACGGAATTCATTCATCTGTTCTTGGCTGATTCCTTTGGCATCCCGAGTCAAAATCTGGTTTTCCACCTCATTGATAGTCCTGGCGATGGTTGTGAGGAGCTGCTCCCAGCCCACTCTGATGTGCTGGAAGAGAAAGGGGAATATATTTCTACAGACGTCTTAGATTTGAAATCCTGAAACTACCATCAAGCGATCCTAGACTTGAAATATATGCTGCTCAGCCGGAAGAGGAAGCACATATCAGATCTTCCAAGTTTTCATTTAGGGCCAAATGCTATATCATATAGTGTGATGCATTCTGGTGTTTTAGTCTAAAGTAAAAAGGGTGCCTGATTCACACTGGAACTGCAGAATACAGGAGAAAAGGGCTATAATCATCCCTTTCCTCGCTGCAAACTACTACTATGCTGCAAAGAGCAGTATGTGTCATCCAAAATAAATATGTAAATAAAGCATCCACTGAAATATTCTCTTTGTGTGTATGACTGAATGAAACAGGTATGGATTAAACCTCCCTTCTCCATGTGTTGTTGCTCCAATCCAGGTGGGGAGAGAGGCACATGCTCATTTGAAAACAGGGTAGACCATCTTTGCACCCTCAAGGGCTATGTTTGGTTTTCTGGAGGTGGTTGGGGCCTTCTGAATCCCATCAAAGAGCTATTCAATAATGATGAATGGGAATCTGATTCTGTTTGAAAACAGGATGCACAGGGAGCACTTCCTGCATGCTTTGTGTTCCAACTACATGAGGAAAATTGGCAAAGGCAGAGCATCCATAATAGGTGACACCAGTGATGTCTATATACATGTTGCCTGTGTGTATTCCAGTTCTAACCCAAAACAGAAGGCTATATATTATGAATTTAACATGTGCAAAAATGGCATTAGTAGTAAAAATAGTAATATTTCCCCCTTTAAAAAAAGGCTCTCTTACTATGCTATCCACAGATAATCTTGGTGATAGTATTATCCCCTAAACTACTGCTCATTGACACTTCTCAGGATTCCACAGACTCATCCAAGCATGATTACACTCACTGCAGATTTGTGCCTCAGACATTTAATCCTTGAAGTACTGTGCAGTACAGATCATATCAGGTTTATGTTCACCATTAACAGCAAACATAGTTGTAATTTCTAGCTTGACTGTGAAGAATGAGCCTCAAGATAAAGGGAGTCAAGGGTGGGGGTGGTTGTAGCCTGCAGTGCCAAACTGAAATGTGTCCAAGTTACAGCATTAGAAAGGAGGGCTGCCTGCCAATATTTGAACTCAGCAGCACGTTTGGGTAATGTTACCTTTCTGTTCCTTTTATGAACAATTTCTTTAACAAGAACAAGAAGAGGGATGGGTAGTATAGGATCTCTACTTGTACAGCGAGCTGGCTACCCTTTCTTTTCAGGTCTGTGCTGTATTTGTGCTGCCTTTACCTCCATAGTATAGTTGGTGTGCTTATTGTCGAAGATGAGGGCTTCCTGAATTTGCTGGTGATCTCCCTCCAGTTGATCAATCTTTGGTTTGTAGTTTACGATGCTCTTCTCATACTGCCGCAGGTGATTGAGCTGGTCCTCTAGAGTCCCATGCATCTCTATGGAGATGCGGCCTATCTCCTGCAGGAGCCCCAAGGAAATGGGCAGATGAGTGACAAGTTTCAACACGTCCAGTGTCTGCTTGCAGCTGTTCCCTAAGTGAGCTAAAATACATTTAACCACATGCCTTGTAATCTCAAGAGAACACAAGCTTGCTCGCAGGCATTTCAGAGAAGTAAACAGAACTTGGCTACACTCTTTTGGCTGGCACACATCATAGTAGCTGTACTTCATTAAAGATTAAGCATCAGATAAAGACTTGCCCAGCTGCATGACAGAGCTCTAGAAAAAATGTCTGTTTCATCTTTGTGGCTGTTGTTCCCTTTCTCTAAATTAAGACTGTGTTTAGTGAGCACATATTATAGATCTGTAACACATTATAGCATCTGAAACCACATGTGACATAATTGCCAGCAGCCTCCCTAGAATATAACTACACTGTCAAAGCAGTTAAATTAAAAACAAAACAAAATAGAACACAGATGCGCATGGCCACGCATACCATATGAACACATCTGGTGGGGAGAGGCCACCGCTTGTGGTAGGCATGTTTAAAAACCAATCTGTAGCCAATTCAGATGGGCTGGCTTGCTGGAATGTCCCAGTAGCCCTATGACGGAGCCAAGTGTGTGTGTGTGTGTGTGTCTTTTAGTTCCACTGATTTTACTGCAAAAATTAAACACATACCTAAATCTCACTGGATATCACAAGTCCTAAAAAATGCTCACCTCTGAGCATGCCACATGCTGAAGATCTAGAAAAGCTTTCCTTACCTGTGCACTCCAGATGAGTTGGAGTATAGTTCCCATCATCACCAACCAGCATGATGTCCAGGGGTGATGGGAGCTGTACTCTAAAATATTTGGAAGGCACGTGCTTGTAGAAGGCTGACTTAAATACGAAAAGACAGCACAGAACAGGAAGCACTTTGGATCAGTTAAAATATGAACCTGTTTTTACCTCCATCTTGGTTTGGATCCAAGGGCCAATGACATTGGCCTGGGTGGCAAACTGCTTGCGGAGTCTCTCATTATGCTGTTGTCGAGCATGTTCCTCCATCAGCGCCTGATCCCTCCTAGGAACTAGCTGTCTCACCTATAGGAAAAATATAAAATTGTGTTCTACGGAATGTTGCTTAAGCATTTACACACTCAACAAACTTGGTAAAGCCATGTTTCATACACTATTGACTGAAAATAAAACCCAATGCACTTCTGCTCAAGTAGCTGTTAAAATGGGTGTTCAGTTGAAGTGGATAATATGCTCACAAATAAACCAAAATAAACCAATACATTTATCAGCAGATGAGATGCATGCTAGAAATCAAAGCTAATGCATGAAGCTTCTCAGGAAATACCTATATTTACTGGCAGGCTTTATGCACTACCTTTGGCTTAACGGTGGAAGTTTCAAGTGGTATTATGTCATCGCTTGGTGAATATGGAGGTTTCACTTTGTTTTGTGAGCGTTTATTCCACTGGAATAGAAAATTAGGAATAAATAATATTCTGTGGAATAATATAATTTAGTTTAGAAGTAGCTTTTATAAATGAATACTGGATGTAGCAGCACCTGACCCACCGCTGCAATTCTGGGTCCACTGTGTTGTTATGTGCTGTCAAGTCATCTTTGACTTATAGTGACCCTATGAATGAGGGATCTCCAAAATGTCTGTTCTCAACTGCTCTGCTCAGCTCTTGCTGACTCAAGCCTGTGGTTCCTTTAGGGAGTCAATGCATCTGATATTTGGTTTTCCTCTTTTCCTGCTGCTTTCTCCCCTTTCCCAGAATTATTGGGTTTTCCAGAGAATCCAGCCTTCTCATGATATGCCCTAAGTAGGACAACCTTACTTGGTCGGAAATCCCATAGCACTCAGTGGGGTTTCCTCTTCAGTCTTTCCACCTCTAGGGATAATTGCCAAGACTTGAAAGCAACTCACGTGGTCCCATTTGCCATTGATTTCCTGTGGAGTGATTGTGGTGTACGGGTTGGTCCCTGCCATGTTAACATGATAGGTTTGAACAATTTTGGACACTTCATTATGTATTCCCAGGATGGCCTGTCTTTCCTTGTCAGCATCTGGCAAGGTGGCTTTGAACTGTTCGTGGGCTGTGGTCAATCCCTGAATGAAATGAATAACAGAATAATTAGGAGAGAAACATCGTGATCTCCTCAATAATAAGTGGCTCATGGAAAACTGTACAGAAAATTCTCTGTCAACAACAAAAAAGTGGGATAACTTAGACAGTGCAATATGTGGCAAGGGAAATTCTTTCCAGGGACCAGAATTTTTAAAAATGGAAATAATGATCTGAAGCAATGGAAATTTAGATGTGCAGCAACTAAAGCTTCCTCCAGTATTACTGCTGGAGGACATATTAGACAGGTTTGAAGGACTGCCAGGATGGAACCTTCTTTCTAGTATGCTGGCAGGTGGGTGCTTTTTTCAGACATCAGTCAGGAACTGGGATAAAGAATGCATCTAATTCTTTTTCAAACACTGATAGGCATTTTTGCCTCATCCTTTGGAAAGGGGGAAGCCCTAGCCTTTGTTACAGAAGGGCTACAGCCGGTTGGCAGAAATGTTACAACTGATAGTATAATAGAACAGACACCATGAACTACAGTGGAAGAGAATAAAAGCTAATCTATAGTGAGAGGGACATGGTGGTGCTGCCGGTTAAACCGCAGAAGCCCCTGTGCTGCAAGGTCAGAAGACCAGCCGTCGTAAGATTGACTTCATGCAACAGCGTGAGCTCCTGTTGCTTTTCCCAGCTCCTGACAACCTAGTAGTTCAAAGGCATGTAAATGCGAGTAGATAAATAGGTACCACCTCGGTGGGAAGGTAACGGCGTTCCATGTCTAGTCGTGCTAGCCACGTGACCATGGAAACTGTCTTCAGACAAACACTGGCTCTACAGCTTGGAAACGGGGATGAGCACCACCCCCTAGAGTCGGACACGAGTGGACTAAATGTCAAGGGGAACCTTTACTTTTACCTATAGTGAGAGGAGGACTCATATTTACCTGAATTTCCTCAATGGTGTGGACTATGAACGTGTCCTGCAGATCCTCCATGGCTCCCTCCATCCAGTTATTGAAAGGGGCAGCTCGTTTGGCATATTCTAGATATAGCTGGTCAATTGTTTCCAGTAGCTTTTCTGTTCTCTACAAAATGGCACAAAAACAGATATAGAGTAAAACCAGGAATATAGGTATCACATTCTGGTCTCCTGCATGACATCTAAAACACTGCCTTAACTCTCTCCCCGCCACCTCTCATTCTCCCTGTATGTGCATGTCTATGTCTAGGAGGGTTCACTTCCTGCATTTTAAAAACAGGGATTCTTCTAAAACAGGCTAAACGTGTTTCACCTGGAAATGCTGGCATTTTGACAGTATAATATATCTTTTTTTCCAGATTGTTCAGAGGAAAGCTCAACAAGCAGGGTTATTTTTTTGAAAAATAGGCTAGATATGCTAGCTGTTACCGTTCTCCCTCCTGCAACCTTTTCTAATTTCTGAGCAAAACACACATTTGAGATTGCAATTAAGAAGGTTTTTTTCACACTAGATGAAGAGTAGGCAATGAATTAGGACCAAGAATTAAATAGTCGGAATTCTATATATGGCATCGATATCATCCAAAATCCATGTTCTACAGAGGTGGAAAAGGTGTGGTTCTCCAGTTATTGTCTGACTGCCGCTTCCAGCCTGCCTCAACACTAGTTACTGCTCAGGGCAGCTACAGTCCAGGAATATCTGGAAGACTATACTTTGCCCACTCCTGCTGTACTCTGTCATGTAAACAAATGGTGGAAACCATCATTCAGTCCCCTATTTGGCCATGAAGGCTATTGGATGAGCTTGGGTCAGCCCCTAACTATCACTCAGGCTACCTTTAAGGATTGATGCAAGACTTGGAAATGGGTGGAATGAAGTATAATAGATAAATCAACAGTGGAAATCATAAACTCTTGGTCTCTTGCCTTTCTAATGCCTTAGTAACTATAGTTTTAATATGTTCATTGTTATTTATTTTAGAAGCTTCCTTACTGCCTTTCATTTAAAATCTCCAGAGTGGTTTACATAAAAGAATGATTGAAAATCAACTAAAAGCAATCAGAACAGTTATAAATAATGAAGTCCTCAAAACACTGAGATCTTAAGAAGCAGATAAAAAGTATCATAAGGGTAAATTGAGATCATAAAGGCTTGGAAGAGTAAGTCTTTGAATTGCATTAAAAGGATGAAGTAGAAAGAGAAGTGGGGACAGGAGATTTTTTTGGCATACAATCTTTCAGAAAGTTTTCCAGTGCTTAGTGCTTCCATATAAAATTTTCCATGGGCAAACAAAACCTATTTCATAAAATTCTTCAGTAAGTGAAATTAATTAAAATAGTTCAATAACTGTAATAAGCTTCCCTTGCCTGCAGAAAAAGAATCTAATTGAAATTCAGAGAGAACTAAGTAGCAGATCTGGAGGATTTGACTAAAATGGAAAAGAGTTAAAATTTGTTGGAAGTAGTTAAGTGGACAACCATAGCTCATCATATACTCATCACCGGGTGTCCTAACATTAGTGTTTCAAGTACTTTCATCCCACTAAATTAAAATAAATGTTAGGCAAAATATGGTTCGCACTGTTTCACAGGCATAAATTGGTTTAGAACTCTGGAAATAATTAATTTAAATGACTTTAAAGCTTCCTAACTATCCGCCCCCCACCCCAATTCAGCTTCAGATGCTTCCTAGAGTTCCTGGGAAGCCTTTGGGAATCTTGGGAAGCAAGAGGGGCTTTTAATAATCAAAAATCACCACCAGATCACAGCTGGCGATCCTTTGTGACTATTAAAAGCTTCCCACCCACATCCACAGACGCACAAAGTCTTCCTCGGGGCAAAAGAGAGAACCCCAGGGAGTTTTGGAGGCAGAAACAAGGAGAATAGGAAGCTTTAAAATTAATTAATATTAATTACTTCTAGCACCCTGATCTGGTTTATATTGATGAAACTGCGACAACAGGATTTTGCCCAGTGTTAGTGAAAGACATGTCTTTGTGAATTTAAAAGAAGTACTGTAATAAAAATAATTCCCGCACAAAGCTTTGGATTTGTTTGAATACAAGAAATAGCCCTATTAGGCACATTGGATTTTTGATTTGAATAAAGCATTTCAGTTCAAATACTTATGGGCCATGGAGATATTTAAATTTTTATTTAGTAAATGTACATCAAACACGCTAAATTACAACGTGCTCTGTTAGCATACTGACATTTATATCACAAAAAATTTTTTAATTGAAAATAGGCCACCCCCATGTCATTGGACACAGATGCCAGACAGCCTTTACCTGGGGAAAGCAGCCCCTAAATTTCAAGGCCATCACTGAAACAGTGGCTAAATCTTATCAGCAGGCACATGAAGACAGACGAGTAATCATGTACTCCACCAGCAAGAAGTTTAAAGACTGAAACAACCCAGAACTAGACCAGGAGTAACTGAGTTAAATGAGCTCAGAGATGGACCAGGAGTAAATAACAAAGTAATGACATGATAAACACATACTGCCTGGTCCTAAGTTAGTGGTAGAGATGGGGGTATTCATATATGAATATCCCTGCACAGCTGGACTTAATGAAGGTCAGACTGTCCACTCATCCATCTGTCGGCGGCAGCCTCACTCATCCTTCCAATCACTCCCGGAGTGCCGCTTTCCTCCCACTCGGCTGGCCACCCAGCAGCCACGCAGGGAGACTCGTCCTCCTTCCCCCCTGCCTGGAATGGCTAGCAGAGCGGGAAGAGAGTGGCCCTCCAGGAGCAATTGGAAGGATGAGTGAGGCCACTGCTGCCGAACGCATGAGTGGATGGTCCGGCCAGACTCTCGTTAAATCCAGCTGCGTGGGGATATTTGTATTCAAATATGAATACCCCCATCACTAGTTGGCAATCTAGCAGCCACATGGATCTCTCAGGTTGAGCTATTTGTTTTGAGAGGTATTTTGAATGGCATGGTTTCCCCAAGCCTATCTGCTGAGTGTAAGGTAGTCTGGAAACCTATGGAAAAAAACACATTTGACTTTTAGAATGTACAAGGATCTCTTACCTCCAAAGCTTCTCGTCGCTTCTGGGTCAGAGCTCCAAGGTTATCCCACTGGTCACATATTTTTTGGCACCTGGCATTGACACTTGGTGAATCGTAATAATCCAACTCGCTGGAAAACACAAGTGAGAAACAGGGGTGGGGGAATTGACAAGACTAATAAAACACGGGTTTTGATGCTTTCACAAGATCATAAAAATAGGTTTTCTGGCCAGCCGGAACCCAGAGACAGCAGACTTTCCCTTCCAATGTGCATCCACCCTCACTGTTCCTTGGTCCACACTCACTTTCCACACATCAAGCTCCCAACTCACCTAAACAGACGTTGAAATATGTCTAATCCCTTTTACAGCTGTCCAAACTAAACTTTAACATCCTGAGATAGGAAATTCCACAACTTAAAAACAACAGTGTGGGAAGCAGTCTTTTCTTCTGTCCTGACTCTCGTGCCCATTCAGTTTCATAAAGTCAGGACAAATTCCAGTATCACAAGAGGTGAAGAATACTTCTACCCACTTTCTCCACACTCAGCACACATTTATCAACCTCTGCCCTTAACCACCTATTCTTGGTAAATAAGATCTCTTATTTGGTTATGTAGACAAATTGTTGCACACCAGATCTATCAACTGTTATCAGATTTTTGGAAGGTCACAAGCCTAAAGATCCTTTGTCTCTATTTGCTTTACCCCACTATTTTTCTGCTTGGTTCTCAAGATTTCATTCTAAACAAGAGTTCTTCTTTTAATTCTTAGGTCTTAGTCACAGCTTCTGAAAATTCCCTCGACTCATTTTCTGCCCCAAAGCGAAGTCCATGCCCTGTGAGGAAACCATACTTGAGCTCTTGTGCAATGGCTGCAATCTGTTCCACGCGGTCCTGATGAGCAGCAAGGTCACTTTCGAAAGCCTCATGTTTCTTTAACAGGGCCTTGATCTCGGATAAGGTAGCAGTTTCATAGTCCTTCTGCTGCAACATTGCTTCTTTACCTGTACAGGGCATCAAGAGGCAGGCGAGTGAGCCGAAGGTCAAAGGTGAGTGGCCTATACAGATTATCCATAGTTTGGAAGAAACCTCTTAAGGGTAACATCATTATTTGTTCCTCTCTTTTTAGAAGTAATGACATGCCGAATAACTTTGAATAATGTTAACATCAGTGAGCTTTGACGGTGTTTATTCATTATTTCAAAGCATAAATTTTGCGAGTCATTTGGGGAAATTTGTGGGTACTTTGAATTTTAAAGTGATTTTTTAAAAAAGTAATACATTTTTAAAAACTGATATATCACACATCAGTTTTCAAGAAATGAGTAATGGCAACACACTGCTGATGAAGGCAACACTGCAGCAATACATTTCAGAAATAAAATTCCCCACCAAAGGTCCCGAGCTCCCTGTGGGATCCCTCAGTTTACTGACCTAAGATGGAAGGCTGAGTCAACCTTTGAGCCAGCTACCTGAGCCTGATGGAACTGAACTCAGGTTGGAACTGAACTCAGCAGAGGCTTAATTGCAGTACTGTAGTTTTAACCCCTGTCCCACTACCTGAGCCTGTTGGAACTGAACTCAGGTCGTGAGCAGAGACTTATTTGCAGTACTGTAGTTTTAACCCCTGTCCCATGAGGCTCCTACTGCAAACCACCCAGAAATCTGTTAGTAGAACCTCTCACGGGCAATGAAATATGCAGAATGTACCAATTTGCTGACATCAATAAGTAAAAAAAATCCGCTTCTTATCATAAATTTGTTAATTAAGCACTGGTTTTTTTAAATCACAAAACCGTGCTGACAAGACATATTTGTAAACCACGCCACATTACCATCTGTCCAGGATTCATGAATGGAAGCTTTTTGCCGGAACTTCTCAGCCAGGTGATCCAGACGTTCTAATCTTCGAATCTCATTCAAAAGCCACTCCTCATAGCCCTTCTCAGCCTGTTCCAGGCCACCCCATGCATTATTTATGTCCTATGGAAAACAAAACAGAATCATAACGCAATCAAGCAACGGCAGAAGAATTCCAAAGAAATAAAACATTCCAAAACGTCCTCTAATCATATTCGCAAACAGGCTTCTGATCAGCTTGCACTAATGAGCAGAGGATCACACCAGAAAGTTATGGAAAGCCATTTCAAATATGCAAATAATCTCAGAGAAAGAGTGGGAAACATTTGAAATTTTGAACGACAAACTCTAATAATATTTTACTATTGATCATGCTGGCTTTTGAGAGGTTAAATCCAAAATTTTGGAGGCTTCAGCGTTCCCCACCCTTGCGCTAGAGCAGTGGTTCTTAACCTTTGTTACTCAAGTGATTCTGAACTGCAACTCCCAGAAACCCCAGCCAGCAGAGCTGATGGTGAAGGCTTCTGGGAGTTGCAGTCTGAGTAACAAAGGTTAAGAACCAGTGCGCTAGAGGACAATGGCAAATCAATACAAAGTGGAAGCAAGCCATAAGATCACTGGAAAGCAAGGTAGAAAATAATTGCGTAAATCTGTAGGACACTCCCATTTGGCTCCTGCTTATGATAAAAGATGGGTACTAATCCAAAAGTGTCAATTAGCACTGGAGAGTCGGCAATCTAGACCATGTGTGGGTTGTAGAGCCTGACAAGATTGTTAGGTGACCAAAAGTGAACTTTCAGCACCAGAACTAGAGACAGTGCATCTCAAAACCCAGATACAAAACTAAGCGTAGCCAGAAAAATCTGAGTCAGAGCGCAGATGATCAGGACAAAATGCTCCAGCACTGGTCTGAAGACTTCCCTTCTGAAGGCTAAAATATTCCTGCAGGGAGATTGTTTTGTATCTTCCCTGCTTCCCTAGAGTTTGGTCCCAGTCTGAGAATGAAGGATGTGCACTCTGACAAGGTCAATATGTCTCCTGCAGAACTTGGAAATTTTTCTCTTTTTTTGGACTGAAATTCCCATAATCTCCATGGGCATGCTGGCTGGAAGAGACTGGGAGCTGACTTGAAAAAAGCAATTTTCCCAACATTTGGTCTCCTACTGTCTTTGGAACCAGAGTGAAGAGCTCAGGAGGGGTTCTTATAGGGATGGGGGACCCCATCATCTCAACAGCTGAGAGGGACAAGTCAGGTAAGGAGAGCTCCCCGGGACCCCTGGCCCTGCCTTCACCCTGGCCTCAGTTTCCCTCAATGTCCATCTGTATTCCTCCCCACTTCCCTTCCATCCTTTTTCTTTCCTTCTTCAGTTCAAAACTGCAGGTTCCCAAACGTATTCGATATCCGTGGAAGTACTACTCAGGCCGGGCTCCTCCCCCCTCCCTTCTCCTCCCTTCACCCAAAGAACTGTATTGAGGGAGCTGCGACCCAGTGGCCAGTAAGTTAAAGGAGCTGCGAGTCAAAAAGATTTGGAAGCCACTGTTCTATACTGATTGATTCCACACACACACCGAAACCATTTTCCCTTCAGAAGGCATGAAGGCTGGTCTATTGCTTAGTCGCAACTTGGTCTGCAAGGTATTGAAGTTGATTTCCAGCTGGCACTTTTCTTGAACTTTAGGAGGTTTGTGAAGGCGGCGATAATCTCGGAAATCCTCTAGTTTCTGCTGCATGGCTTGCATGGTGTTCTCGGGAGTTCGATTCTCAAGCCAAGGGATCGTGCGCCGGATCCACTCTAGCAGCTAGGAATGACAAGGAGTTAAAAAATAGGAATGGTGATGAGTTTTGGAATGTAGCTTTGTTGGCATTCAATATGACCACAGTTTAGGTATTTTTAGGCAAAAACATCTGCATTTTAACCTCTTGACAACCTTGTCTATTCATACTTGAAATTGCTTTTGCTGGGAAGGTTTTGCAATATGCAGAGACATGGTTTAATGATGTCTATGGCTCTGTATTTGTAGCCACGTATGCAGAGACATGGTTTAATAGATGATGTCTATGGCTCTGTATTTGTAGCCATACACAGCCATATGCAAATATAAGAGTTTGCATCTCTTAGTTTTTATTCTGGTAAGCGTGTAATGCACATATATTTTCACATATATATAAAAAAACGATCTAAATAAGGGCTTACTTGGAATCCCAGGTGAAATACATGCATAATTCAGTTTTTTACTTTCATTAATTTGAGGAGTATTTTAATATCACATTTTGAATTAACTTATTTTACTCAGTCTTTGATGTCAGGCTAGTTCTAAAGACTGTCTTCCACAAGGCACATCACTTCCTACCCACATTAGTTTTGTGTTTGGGATGCTTTGGTATCACAAAAAGAACCTCCTTTTTTTTTTAAAAAAAAAAAGCAACTACAGGGTTTCCCTTGTGATTTCTCCAGTTAAATTGCACTTAATTTTCAAAGGGTTTTTTTGCCCCCTTATATTTCTACTATTTGTAAACTCTTTCTTACAAGACATTTTAAGCTATCAGTTAAGTCTTCCTTCCTTGCAACATGTGTGACAAATTTCCATAAATAATTTCCATAAATCAACTTGTGCTCCTCATCTATTGGTGTTGGTTCCTTAGCATTTGTTGTCGTTTTAAAAAGCAAACTACTAGAAGACTTGGAAAGCACTTTACTTGTATTACCTGCTGCAGAAATGAAATGAAATTACTATGTTTTTTTATTTAAAATCTTTCTACCCTGCCTTTCTCTTTCAAAAGGACTCAAGATAGCTTAAATCATTAAAATACAGTATTTAATATTAAAGCAACATCAAAACAAATTCAAAGCAGCAGGGTATGACAATCCATTAAAAAACTCAAGCAACACCAAAATACTTTCAAAATAGTAAGGTAACACAATCCATTTAAAACCCCATTCAGGCAGACCAGTCTCTCATGTAGCTAGCTTGCCTGAAGAGAAAGGTCTTTGTCTGCTTTTGGAAGGACAGCAAAGATGGGGCCAGTCTGGCCTCCAATGGGAGGGAGTTCCAAAATCTTGAAGCAGTAACAGAGAAGACACTCTCTCGTGTATAATCTCATGATGACTGGGCACATCATGAGAAAACAATACCCATTGGAAAAGACAATTATGCTGAGAAAATCTGAAGGTAACAGGAAAAGTGGAAGACAGATGGACATGATTAAAAAAGGCACAGCCTAGATACACAGGAGCTGAGCAGGGCTATTAATCACATGACCTTTCAGAGGTCATTTATTCATAGGGTTGTCTGAAGTCAAAAGCGACTTGACAGTACACAGTAAGACACCCTCCTCCAATATAAGCGGAAACACCACTGAATACTTTAAAGTATCTGTTGCTTTTCCTTGGCAGGATTGTTTGTTTGTTTGTCTATTTTGTATACTGCCCCATTCATCTGATGCACTATTCTGGGTGGGTCACAAATAATAAAATGAAACAAGCAATAACAGAGAAACAGTGAATTGAAACAATAAGAGTAAAAGTAAAAACATCAAGTTCCAGAACAATGAGAAGTACATAGATTCTACACAATGAATAGCTATCACTTTCTACCTAGCACTGTCAAGACATTGAAAGCAGGACTACCTACATCACTAGCCAACTTCTCATAGTCTTCCATTAGTTGTTCATTCTCTTGATTGACAGCCAGCACCTTGCAGATACGATTGGCTGCTGTTTCCGCCTGTCAGAAAACAGAAAGACAAATATACATGAATATAATTGTCTTATTTGGATGTTCAATTTAGCTTCATGCTCTTTGCCTTCTAGAAAAAAACTCTTTATCTAAGAGAACATTACTATTCTACCGGGAAATTTCTCTCCACACCACTAAAATTTAGAAATGATTTGCTACCACAGCATTTCTTGCTTTTCACCATCACATCCTGTGAGGTTCAACTGGAATGTTTTCCCAACCTTGAACAACTACATGCCCATTCCTGTTTTAAATCTATTAAGCCCTGTCCTGTATTTATGTCAACTCTGTATATGTGCCAATATCTATAGCTACAAGCTGGTAACATACTGAAATGATTCACATCAACGGACAGTATGAGCTAGCAAACATAAGGGAGGAAAGGTGGCAAATACAAATTCTGATATTCTCTAAGACCACCCTCCCTTTGTTTCCATGTCTCCTACCTTTGATTGACTGCTGTAAAACCCTAACTCCATTTGTCTTTAGAAACTTACATTTTCTATTTTACTTTAAATGTTCTATCATTTCCTTGGTATAATGTGTAATTATTCTGCACCAAAAGAAATCAGACCATAGGAAAACCATGGCATAATCTATATGCTGTTGAAATCTATTTCATATGTTTCAACAGCCATTAACCAAAAATACTTCAACTGGGAAATATATCCTGAATCCAACTGTCAGTTCCAACTAGAGTAGACCTACTAAAAATAGCATTTACATAAATATTCACTCCCCATTCAATAAGCGATTTAATGGCTAGAAATCTACAGTTGCTTGTGTTAAGTTTGCATGATCTGCTGTGGCTAACTTAAGCTAATTGACAAGGTGTTGGGATGTGTCTCAGTTGTGTGTCTGATCACACCCCCAACTGCTCAGTTGAGATGAAGTCCAGCACCATGACACTTGCACAAATGCTATGACAATTAGCCACAGCATTTACACAAACCCCATCTGAACACCAGCAGGGTGTTGGCCAATGGATCTACTCTAGGTAGGACTAACAACTAGCGATGGGGACAAACTGCTAGTTTAGTGGTCCGTGCTGGTTCCTTTAGTGGCTGAACTAGTGGTGTTCAGCACTTCAAAGCCCCACCTCCTTTGGCAAGTGCCCATTCAGGGGCAGCACCTGGTGAGGCAGAAAAGCCAGGTCTCTGCCTCTAAGTGGGCAGCTGTCTGAGGAAGTGGAATTTTGAAGCAGTGAACTGTTGTGCATCAATGATGTACTTTGTCAGCAATAGTTAAAAAGAAATGGAACGTTTCATCTCCTCTGTCCATTTCGCATGATGGAGATGCCTAAGTGACTTAGGCGAAGGAGAAGACAGGAGATGTATTTTTTCTTTCCCCTTAAAAGGAAAGAAGATGGGTCTGAACAAATTGCTTGAGGTGCAGTGTGGTTGATCCTTGCATGTGGATGCATGGATTGCCTCAAATGGCACATCACCTCTCAAAGCAATCCTGTTTAGTACAATCTAAACCAGTGGTTCCTATCTTGGGTCCCCAGATGTTCTTGGACTACAACTCCCAGAAATCTTGACTAATATAGCTAATGGTGAAGGCTTCCGGAGGTTTTAGTCCAAGAACATCTGGGGACCCAAAGTTGGTAACCATTGATCTACACCAACCAATATAGGTCAGGATAATTATACCATCTAGTAGCACCACTTGTGCCAGATAAGCATGTATGGGACTATTGCTTAACTGGAAGTAGCTGTAGCTGACCTATGTTGAACATGGAAGTGCAAATCAGAGTCTGCAGGGAAATGGCTGGGGAAAAAATCCCTTAGCAATCACATGTCCTTTGCTTCAAGGGGTGTAGAACCTTCAGTTGTCCAGATGTTGATCAACTACCACCCTTTTGTATGCTCTGGCCTGATGGGCAGTTCAGCCACACACAGAGGGCCACAGAGACCCCTGTCCTGCTTTACTTATAGTGGGACATATATGTAGCAATACATCTTGGCAGCTTGGCTGAAGAGATCTTCTCAGGGAAGTAATTTCACTGAATACAAAGACATCAGCTACTGGTTACTTTCAGTTTAAAACCTTGATTCCCACTTAGATTTCACTGGTTCACCAATCATTAGCAACAAATCTCTGGTCCAACGCCTATGCAAGGCACCTCATTCTCCATGTTGCCTCTCCAAGATGAATGAAGCCGTCTACTTGCCAATCCAGACATTAGCGGCAGGGCTTAGAAAGGATATTTTTGAGGGGCTACAATTCCTAGTATTCCCCCAGCTGCCAAAAAGGGTATCTGAGAGATTTTATGAGTTACAGTATATGCTAGAAAAAAAATGAAACTGCAATTCAGAATCCAAAGGGAATTAGATATCAATGGCTGGAAAAAAAATCCCTTTCCAAGAACATTCCAAGCTCTGAGCTAGTGTATGTGGAGAAGAGTTCTTTAGTAGGTGCCTTGCCACTTTCCAGTGTTTTCGTCTTGGAGCAGAAGTCCAACTTTCTTTCAAAAGTGTTCCAAGACTTCTTTAAATTCTTCTCAATTGCCTGCCTTTGAGTTGGGCCTTTTCAGGCTATGGCCAATGTTCTCACTTAGGCACCTAGCAGTGAGGTGGGATAAAAGTATATATAGAACAAATACAACATATTTACTTTTTAAATACATCAGAACAGCTCATCTAAAGAGAAGGGACAGGTTTCTTAAATCCAGAGCACAGAAAAGTTACTTTTTTGAACTGCAGTTCTCAGAATACACCAGCCAGCATGGCCAGTGGGAGTTACAGTAGAGAAAATTAGGAGTTATAATAGGGGGGAAAAATCCAAACTTAAAGTTTTTTGACAGAATCCAGAGGCAGGTGCTTTTCAAATATGATAGCACTTTTCAAATATTTGAAAGCCTGTCATACAGAGGAGGGGCAAGATCTGTTCTTGATTATCCCAGAGTGCAGGATATGCAACAATGGGCTCAAGTTAATGGAAGCCAGATTTTGGTTGAATATCAGGAAAAACTTCCTAACTGTTAGAGCAGTACAACCCTAACCCTAACCCTAACTAGTTACCTTGCGAGTTAGTGAGTGCTCCAACACTGGAGGCATTCAAGAAAAACTTAGATAATCACCTGGCAGATATCCTTTGAGTTGTATTCCTGCATTGAGCAGGGATTTGGACTTGATGGCCTTGTAGGCCCCTTCCAACTTTTCTATTATTCTATGATCTCCATAATCTGAATGTTCATATTTGTGACAAAAGATGGGTCCAGAAGAGATAAACAAGACATATATACATATATACTTTTTGTTTTTGTTTAAGAATGAGTGTACTCTGTGTATAAAAATAATGAAAAGTTATTATTTCTTCTACAGGAAAGCTAAAATCCGCAGCCTGCTTATGTTAGGGAAATTAAAGTAGCGTACCTTTGCTCTCTCTGCTTATTTCATATACTTTACTTAAAACTACCAATCAAATAACCAGGCATTGATGCTCCATTTCCTGGCCACTGTAAATCTTAGCTTCTGAGCTTGTACAGAATTCAGAAATAAGGTCAGCTTGTGTGATAAGTATATGCAAGTTTCCAAATTCCACAGGCTTGTGGATATAAACAGCATTGTATTATGCACATTTACTCAGAAATAACATGTATTTACTTCCAAATATCTGTGCACTGGATAGCACAATAAGATGTGCTTCAAGTTGGAAGGAGCTGAAAACGGAAACAAATTCTTGCGGTTCTGTGAATTTATTTTGGGAGATTTTAGTTTCCTTAGCTATGAAAAGCAACCCGACACTACCTGCTGATTTAATTATTTTAACTGTACAATTATAATGCAGAGAGAAAAGGTCTGTTATTTAGCCACTACCTGACATCATTTAAGGTATTTGTATTACTATGATTCTCTTAAGAATTTTGCATGTTAACATTTTGTCCTGTTTTACAATGTATTTTAATTTGCATGTTTGTGAGCCATCCAGAATGTCTGTTACAGGGTGGCTCTAGAAACAGAATGGTAAGGTCACATTCTCTCACAGAGACACATCATGTTCTCCGGGAGTCTTACTTACAGCACCATGGTCAGTCTTTTCACCCTCACAGACAGTCAGTCTGTCTTTTTACCCTCATAGATTAGTGAGAGGATTCTGACAGACTAACCAAACCAAATCAAAGCTTAAATCAGAAGGCTAGTCAGAAAATATTTTCAGCAATCCATTTCCCCAATGTATTATTATAAAGCATATTATTAAACCCATTTAGTAATTTTAAAAAACCCATTCATGCAGTTTAGTCTTATGAAAGTTAGAAGGAGTTGTAGGGGCAGGGGAAGCAAACTGGCCAAAGCAAGTATATGTGTAGAAATGCACAAAAAGACACACACACACACAAATTATATGAAGGAAAAACAGCCAGGCACATACATATCATTGCAGGCTGGGCCCCCTGTACCTTTAAAGGCTCAGTATAAGAGAATGAAAGAAGCAGAAAGTTGATCATGTGACCTCCCCTTCAGGGCTGGTAGCAGTAATGAGAAATCTGAATGAGAAATGGAGCGACATCACAGTAAGTCACCTTGTCAAGAAAGAGGGTAGAGCCTGAAAGAGATGGGTTGCCTTCCAAGGCCTAAGCTAAAACGCATCTTGGCTAATCATTTGACATGAACCTCAAATTTGGAGCCTGTATCTATCAACAGCCAACTAACAAGCTTTGGGAGAGCTATGAAGGGGAAAGGACCTATACCCTGTCCTTTGGGTCATAAGACATAGCTCATAAGATTAGCTGGCTGACAACACACTTACTTTTTTTTAAAAAAAATCTTCCTTTAAAATCAGCTTTGGGCTGAAGCCTTAATAGCTGATTCTTCACTCTTTCTTCAGTTACTTTGTTCAATGGCAAGCATTATATCAGAAAATGTGTGTCTAGTTATCGGCTCTCTATATGGACTACCATGTTTTCTGGATGGAATGACTAATTTCAACAATCAAGATCACACAATCATTCAATAAAATGAATATGAAATTATTATTCTGGCTGAATACAAATTTACATAACTGATCTGTATGAGTTCTATTTGCCAGGTGTTATTCAACATCAGTTTCATTTCAACTTTTTTGGTGGGGGGTGAGCTACTGAAAGACTGATTTACTTTTGCAAAGAAAAGAAAGAACTGAATTCAACTATTCAGTTGTTAATGTGATGAATGCAAAATGTCTTTATCTGCTCAAAATATTGGTCTGGGCTCTGGAAAAGTAGCAATAAAACACAGCTAGCTCTGCATTCTGCTAAACTTTGTATTCTTTCCTGAGGAGGACCATCCGTCAATTTCTTCCCCTATACCAGGGCCAGATGTTTACAGCAGCATGGTCCCAAAACTGTGCAACTGGTGCTCTAATTTGTGTTTTATCAGTCGTTTCATGGCTACAACTACTCTGCCTATTGTAACAAGCAACCAGGATGGAACAAAACTGTTGAATCCCACTCTAGAATAAAATACACCCATGAACTGTGATACTGTCTATAGACACTCAGGGCAAAGTTTTAGGCTTGCAAGCTGTTACGAGGTCCTTTGAACATTTTAGTGTTCCTCTTATATACGAATTATAGCGTTTTCATACTATAAGGTCTGCTGTCACTGTCCAAAAAACAAAATGTGCCATTCAATACTGAATGTGTTTTAAAATATAATATGGAGAATAAGGTGTAATTTATAGATTCAAGAACTAACACATGTTGGCAACATACAGACTGGACCTCAATGTGAAAAAATCCACTTCCATTTGAGTTTAGCTTACATTTATACTGGCTCTTGGAAACCCCCTAAATCTGATATTAAATGGATTAAATAAAAATATGTTATTATAATCTGACTGATTAATGAGAAGATAAGGTAAATGCTATCTTCCAAGAAATCTGGTGACTGGCATAGTGAGGAACAGAATATATGAATTATCTATATAACTACCATCCCAGTAGAACTGAACTATCCAATGTGAAGCCATAGAAGCTTGGACTAAGGAATGCTTCTCCCTTGACATCTTATACTCAGGTATAAGTTAAACACTTATCTGATGGAGATGGGTCTGCTTTAAAAACAAAGGATAAATTATTATAATTTACACCCTTATGCCAGTACTGGGTGGCACAATAATTGTGTTTCCACAACAGAATGCAAACCGTTATTCACAATCAACAGAAGGCAAGAACTGTTTTATACCCAAGTATGACATGTCAAAGAAGCAGCAGCTTTAGAATATGGAGGAACCATGTGACAGATAATACAATGGATTTTTTAGAAGTCTGTAAGGATTGGAAACATCACAAACGGTAAGAGAAAAGGAAACAGTAGAATTAACAGAGGAGGGGGAACACCAATGAATGGGGACAAGGAGAAGCAACATCGGGCCAGAAATGAGTGAAGAGTTGTAGGCAGAAACTACTGTAATAAAAATCTGGCATCAGGGATGGATATTTTGGAAAGGGGTACTACAGCCTTCCCAAACTGATGCTTTTAAGATGTATGAGTCCACCACCCCCAATCTGCAGTCACCATGGGAACAATGAGAGCTATAATCCAACAATGAGAGCTATAATCCAAGCTCACCAGGCTGGATAGGACACACTTTGGTCTCAAAAGTAATCTCTCAGCTTAGTAGCTACCCAGTATGGAGGAAAACGTAGCATTTTCTGGAAGAGACCTTCAGAGATCTCATATTCAGAGAGCATCTGGTGAAGCAGAAGTGGAATTAAAATTTTTTTCAAACCGGCCTGTAGACACATGAACTGACTCCACTAATACTAAAGCAGCAGCACTGGAGGTATTTTGCGATTCATTGTGGTGTAAATGCTGAATAGCAGTTTTCAATGTCTAAACAGAAAAAAACAGCTGCTCAGGAATTAATACGTAAGACTGTTGGCATACTGTCAGCAACACCTGAATCCTCATGCTTTGTAACAGAAAAGTATTTCAACAAGTGCTATGAGGACCAAACAACACATGATGCTCAGCAGGAAAAATCCAGTGTGTGCTCATGGGGGCGGGGAGATCTTAAGCCTTGCCCCATCACAATATTTTCTGCAAAACTTCCCTGAGCTATTTTCTCCTTTAAAAAAGTATGAGTAATTTTATCTATGAAATACTGTTTTTCTCTCCTCATGGAATGGCAGAGGGAAAAGAACATATTTCAGAAAAAATAATAAAGGTAATGAAGGGGTTTAAAGCTTAACACTCCTCCCAGATCTATGACACTGACCTTTTGAATTCAGAAAAGAGTCTTCCTGGCAACTTTTTGGAAAACTCTGGGGAAGAACTATTGCAATTAAACATCATGTATCACTTGAGTGATATCTAGTACTATTGTATTTATTGCCACTGCCAAAAACTGATGTAGAACTAGTTTCTTTATATACTAAAAGGCAGCAGTGGACTAGCACTGAACCAGTCATTTAAAAATGGGCAGTCGCAAAGGACTCTAAGAGATGTTTAAAATTGTGAAGCTAACAGGGCACTATCCAGTATGGGGGCATCACATCTTTCAACTGAATACTGAGAAGAATGTTGACCTAAGCCAGTGTGATCCCAGTTTGACAATTCCAAGGTAAGAATTTTAGGGGAGGGGGAAGCTGAGATCTATAATAGTGAAAGAAAACCACAGAATCCTCAGCAAAACTAAAGGCCTGAGAAGTTTGTTATACCTCCATTTCAAAGCCAGGAGTGAATTTCACACCTCCAGTGATCTAAGATAATTTCCTCTCTAAATGTATGGGCATGAAACAGAAGGAGGAAGAGGGGATTTTGTTAGGAGTAAAGTCTCACCTTCTGCGCACCTGAGAAGGCGTGGTAGTAACATGAAACATAGGTCATAATGGCCTTCTCATCCGGCCTTAGCGTGCCTATAATATCTGTGCAAAGAAGGAGAAGAGGTTGAAAGGATAAAGTAAGAAGCAGCACACAGAATAAAATAAAACAGTCATGGGTGGTAAGAGAGGGGGAAGACTTCCCAGCATGCATTGCAGGACAGGCCAAACAGATTTCCATGCGGAGAGCTGGGAATTCAGATCAGAACGTGATCAGCAGGGTTGGCTTTGTGGACTCCAATGACACCCATCATCACCATCTGCTTCCAGCTTCGGTTTCTAAGCAAATCCCCCCGGAATCATTATGGGGGGTGGGGTGGAGTGGTTTGACACAATTCCACAGTCAGTAGACTTGAGCCACTTGCAAAGAAGGACAAAGCTAGCAAAACTTGAGAATGTACAGGAGGGATTTGCAAAGTTGCATGTTCCCCAATAGCGAAATTCTTTACCACTGAAAGGTAGCATGTCAGGAAAATGTATTCTAACAGGGAATGGCCATCCCAGCAAAAATATTCACTTATATCCTATCTACCTAGTCTGATGTGATTATAGCTGATGGCCACACAGGTGGTGGCATAAAAGGCATGTAGCCCCATGAGCCATATATTCCAGGTAAACTCAGTTGGCCCACTCATCAGAAGTACAGTGGGGGTTGAAACTTTTGGCCTCTGGCTTTTCAGCCAGGCAGTCCAGCCCACTGAGGCATATCAGTTCCATTTAATCATACAACAGGCTTGATGGGCAGGTTTCAGTTTTCAACAGTCTTCTTTTCATTAGAACTCCTGGGGCCAAATGATAGACTACAAAGCCTACTTATGTTTCCATTTGGGCAAGAAGGCAGGACAGAAATCAAAAGAATAAATGCCTAATTCTTAGATATCAAGGAGAGTTAGATCCATCAATTTGCAATGTTCAAAATGGCAACTTCCTGTTTGGAACTTGTACATTATTAGGAGGGGAAATTAGAATCTACATCTACTACTGTATGGTATTCAGATCTTATTTCTGAAGATTACACACTTCTGCAATGTAAGGAGACCCAGTTATCTTACAGGTTTCATAAGAACCCGTTGCAGCTGATCTCAAAGCAATTCAGCTAATTCCTACTTCAACAGATGAGAACAAGACTCCCAATGCCCTTCATGTGATCCACAGAACCTAGAAGAATGGTTTGATTCTGTCTCTGACTGCAAGACTGTGCTCAACCAATTTGCATTCCCAGCCTGTTATCTATCTAAGGGTGCCACTCTTAAGCCAACAAGCCAACACTGCCAAAAATAATAATAAAGATGCCTGTAGCTAGAGAGGAGAGAAAGAAAGAAAAAAGGTTTGGACATTAGCAAGAGGACCAGGTGCGCTGTGTGGAGGGAGCTTGGAATCCTGCGATACCTTCTGGGCTCCTGAGAAGGCGTGGTAGAAGCTAGAAACATAGGTCATGATGGCCTTCTCGTCAGGGCGGGCTGTTCCAACAATGTCTGTCAAAGAAAACCTGAAGTTAAAGAGCATGTCAACTGATAGGAAGCGAGCAAAGAGAGGTACTGGGGACACCAGGTATGGGTGAGTCTTGAATAGGAACATTAGCACGTAGACATTCCCTACAATGATATTGGTGGGATTTTCTCAGCAGAAGATTTTTCCCTGTAAAGGGCAATTTTTCCTGGCTCTTCTTGGAAATTGTGAAAAATTCTGAAGGAGCTGTATGTCTCCCAGATTAAAAAGATGGCTGATGAGCTACCACTCTGCGGCTGGACTCAACATAGACCACTGCTTCCATTTCCCTAGCACTTTGTCCATCATTTTGAAGGGTCCAATTTATTTTTATTTTAGCAACAGAGAAGCAGATGCTCACCATCTCTCAAGCGCAGGCCATGCAATGTTTTTCTTGCTTTTATGATGAAGATGGTGGTGGTAGTGGTGGTGGTAATGATTAAAAACAACAGCTGCCAGGGCACAGAAGGAGAAATAAATTTCCATATTACTAACCACCTGTTTCTGTGAACTTTCTTGGGATTCAAAATAATCTCAATACCCTTCAATATATCTCTTTGCTTGCAAGCATGGAGGGCAAGAAGTTATCTTAGTCAAAGAGCTTGGGCTTTTTGTGGACCTCAAATGCTACTTGTCAGGGGTGGTGAGGCAGACTAGCTGCATCAAGAACAACTGTTTAACATGATTAAACAACCCAAAAAGTGGATGGATTGGCAGTCAGATCTAGCAAAGTATGTCCTTCACTCTTAGCCACAGGCAAAAACCAATCAAAAAAAGATGTTAAAGAACAGGGCCTGCTCAGAAGCCATCCATCAGCCAATTGTTCCCTCACAGAAAGGACCATGGCAGAAAATTCAGACACAAAATTATCTTTCAAAAACAGGAAAAAGAAGAAAGCCATGCGGTCTTTGTATTTTAAACAAAACAAAAACAAGGATGGATTGGGACCCTTAAAATATTAGGAGGCAAGCTTTTGAGGCCAGGAGGCCCTTCATTAATCTGGGCTAAATTCAAAGGTGTGCTTCCGTCTCTCGGCTGAAATCCAGTTACATAAAGTTATGCTGGATAAGCACAATGATAGCTGCAGCTGTATTTTCTTTATTTCTTTTTTTAAAAGTTTCCTATACACCCAATCAGGTTCTAAGGTTCCCTCAGGATCCCTCTGATCCTGGGAAAGCTTTGGGGACAAAGGGCAGGGGGTCTTAAATGCTTGAAAACTGCTTCCCAGAATCAGGAATGGCACTTTTCAGACATTTAGGCCTCTTTCCAGGATCTTGCTGTCCCCAAAGGCTTCCCCGGGACCTCAGGGATCCTATGGGAGTCCAAGACCCTTGGGGAACAGGGACAGGGGAAAAAATTGTTAACAAAATACGACCACGGTTGATGACATAATCAGGCTTAAATGGCCTAACTTTACATTACTGGATCTCAGCCAATAATTTCAGCAGTCGAACAAAGTTATCATCCAACCTTGGTTTTAAAACATTATTGGTCCATGTGTCAGTGCCCAGTTTTCAAAATGCCAAGGTGACAACCTAGCGAAAAGAGATATTTGACACAAGGATCCAGGAATCTTGCTTCCAAGATCAAAAGATTATGATGAACCAATCTTAGATCACCTTACTTGATTTGACTTACAACTACAGTGGATCAGGAAATAAAATGCCCAGAAAAACGTAATTCATATGCAGGATGGAGGATTGGCTCTTGCCATCTTCTTTTCTTGCACACTGCAATTACCAAGGCACTTGCCCTTTGCTGAGAATTCAGCTTGTTTGTCCTAAGTGACAACCTAGTCAGAGACAAGTGTCCAGCTATGAACGGCTTTATGTCTGTGTTCTAAGCAAACTCACCATAACAAGCTTCACAGCAGGATTGAAAATACCAAAAACATCAAAAGCAAATGGAACACATCATGAGCACAACCCTGCCATTCTCTGGTCTTAGCCTCGTTTGAAGATCTGGGGTGCTGTGTGCAGTCTAATTCATTATGGACAAAAGTTACCATGTCATCCTGGTAACCTCTGAATAGAATTGCGTGGGAGTCAGAAGTCAGGTTAGAAGGTCCCACACCCATGTTGCCTTTTCCATATGGTACAGAAAGAGAATTTTACATTATCTGTGCCTCTCATGTTATTTCTTTAATTGGATGTTACAAAGTTTATGTCAAAGTCAGTTAACAGAAAACCCTTCAGATAATGTATCAGGGCTTATGTCCTGACCAAGCACAGAGATTCTGGGTACAATGAATGTACAGGGAGAAGCATGCTACCTCTGCCCTCTCTGTTGCCATTTCTACAACACACTACATGTGAAGGGCAACTGGCAGAAGGAGTGAGCTTTGTATTGCTGTGGAGGCATCAAGAACTTTGGTTTTAGGGACCCTGGAATACAAAGGGTTGAAGTTGCATGGAGCACCCCACAACTCAAAGAAGGTATCCCCTTCAGGTCCCTCCATCCGCAGAGAGTAGCAGAAATGGTGACAGAGGAATGGAAAAAGGCAGGTGTGCTCCCCAGCCTTACAGACTTAAAATACCTTGAATTTTAATTCCTACATAGATCTTTAGATGTGTGACAAGGAGGGGACAAGGGATATTTGAAGGATCTAACAAGTATATAAGCAACATTTGTGCAATTTCTCTGAAGAAATCAAAATTGGATTATACTGTACCTTCTGCATCCAACATCTTTGGGATATCTAGGTACCTTTCAGCCACATCAAATGCTGTGTTCAAGTTAGTAAGAGGATCATCCTAGCAAAGAAATAGTCTGAAGTTAGCAAGAGGTAAATAACAGAAGAAAATTATTTATAAACAGCATTGTTTATACATAGTACTGTACTGGGATCTTAACAATTTGCAAATTGACCTGCAACTATTGACAGACCACAGGATGGCTCCACTAACCTTGCCTAACTGAGAACTACAGCAGTAATTTCACTTTCATCCTCCACAGAACTATTTACTTAATTGGCCTAGACAACAAGACAAAAGAAGCAGAAGAAAATTACAGTATGTTCCAATGAAAGTGAACATAGTTGTCATGCCCTCACTTGCCTTGCCTTAACAGACGGCATGGTATTGTGACCATACATACCTTCCTCATTTGGATTCTGAATTCATGAGGCAGTTGCTTAGGGGAGACATGAACATTTGTCCCTAACATAATCATTCCCAGCTTAGCTTCCAAACCGGAAGGTAGAGTGCTAATCTAGCTTTAGTGTTCCTCCATCAATGCAGTTCAATGAGAACTATGTACATTTCCAAGTGGCCTTTCTTTAAAAGGTGATGGGGAAAGGTATATATGTGAATTGGAGAAATGTGGGGAATAGTTTTGTATTTAATATTTGTAAAATGGTCGATTGTCTTTTCATTCTTTGGAAAAAATAAAAAAAATGTTTAAAAAAATTTCCAAGTGGCCTCTTTAGACCTCCTTCTGTGGGGACCTTGAACGGATGCTATCAAAAAAAATTAAAAAATTTCCAAGTGGCCTCTTTAGACCTCCTTCTGTGGGGACCTTGAACGGATGCTATCAATCTCCTTTTCGCTGGACACTGCTTATTTCCTGTACCACCCACGAACATGACAGCTGTACAACTGTCAGCTCACCCCTGGCTCAAAGAAGTCCTCTCTTGCTAATTCAAGCACGCCAGAGCCTTGGTTGCTTTGCTCCCCATTTATGTTTTCTTCCATTCTGCCTCTTCCTATGCAAAGGAAGATAGTGAATTATGTTACTACAGCTATGATGAGGTTGTTCTGATTGTTCAGAAATGTTAGTGTACATATACCAGTTCTGCTGACGTCAAAAATGAATGCTAGATTCTCTTACTGCTTCTTTTCTACCCAAGCATTAAAAATGCTGACTTGCAAAGACAGCTTTCCCTCCTAGCAATAAGTTCTACCTCTTCATTTCATAAAACGTTGCTATGGTAATTACTGCAATGTCACCAACAGTCACCTTTATAACATCAGCAAATCTGCTGAAGCCGAGTAGGAGGAATGAGTAAAAATCTGTTAACTATGTTTGTCAGAAATTCACCTACTAAAATGTATGGAGTTTAGAATAATCAGAATAATCAGGCCAGAACATTTCAGTCACAAAATTTGCTGTTCTTAGCGATGGAATGTTTCAAAGGTTAGAAGTGGAAACATCTAAAATTTCATCTAGCTTCCTTAATGGACAAGAAGATCCAAGGGGATGGCCTACCACTGATGCACATACATTTTACAATTTGGCCAGGACAATGGAAAAGAGTATTTGATGTTTCTTTTCCTACCAGCAAACTTCTTTTTCTTCTTTATGATTCTTATCTCTCACAATGATTTATATAACGCTTGATCTCATGGACTCAGGATAGCTTACCACTGTTTTCCTATACAGCAATTGTCTTTTCCCCACCAGGAGCTCAGTACAATAGTTTGAGGAACCACCGAAGCAAAACATGCCATTTCATACAAACCGAGAAAGACTGCATTATGTCCCACTAAGAATTCCAGGAAGACATTGCTAGGATAGCTAATGCACGGCATTGCTACTTTGTCCAGGGATGCCAAGCCCAATGTTCATTTAACTGAGAAGCTCAGTCAGAAAATATTTTCCACCATCTTCCAATCAGGCTACAGCAGTTTTCATCAATCTGAACTCGAGGCACAGTACTGCAGCCAATACTCTGCCGACAACCCAGGTTCAATCCCAGGTAGCCAGCTTGAGGTTGACTCAGCCTTCCATCCTCCAGAGGCTGGTAAATTGAGTACTCATCTCAGGAGTGGGCAGCAATGTCTAGCCTGCATAATTAAATTGTAAACTGCCCAGGGAATGCTTTAATAGCTATGGGGTGGTATGTAAGCAGCACACTTTTTTTGCTTTATTGTCTGACTTATGTTTCTTAAGATCCAGTAAATTTTTGGCTGGTCTGAAAAACCACCATCAAGGTCTAACTGCCAGAAATCCATGAAACCACTGCATCTGAGCTCTTTGGTGAGTAAATTTCACTCCTCCGTCTTACGGTCTGATTAGGTATTAAAACTGCTACATATGTTTTCCTCCTCCTAACCGAGACCATGAAAAAGTGGATAATTCCAAACAAAGAGGTACCTTTCGTAACTTTCCATAGTCAATGAGCTCTGGACGATGTCTATGAATCAAGGCACAGAAACCAAGGCCATCCTTCCAGCTGTGAGAGAAATGATAGGATACACTTAACTATATATATCATGTCACTTCCAGGTTTGAAGAAACATCCTACCTTGACTTTAATACAGGCCACAGGCCACAGAAAGTCAAAACCACAGCTGAATTTTCTTCCCATCTGCTAAGTGGACAGGGTGGGTGAGAGCATGTGAGCTGTACCTCAAGTCCAAGAGGGGCCTCTAGAAATAGCCCACCTGGTTTGAACAAAACATCTCTGCTGCAGAAGAAAGAAGAACTACAGACATGACTTTATGAGCCTTACAATATAACTTGCTCTCTTTGCTCTTTCCTTTACAGATCTTCAGCAGTTGCATCTAAATTGCTTACAAGGGGTAGAAAGGATAAGCAACAGAACTATTCTATCAGGAATATGACATCTCACATTTACTGTGTCTCCAGGGTCTGGGTTGCTGAGAACATACGTTGTTAATGATCAGCTCCATCCTAGCTTTAAAATCCAAACTTTAAAGATTTAAATCCATGCAAAAACACTTGTAGAAACAAGGTTCCGAGCAGATGGATATTTTTAAACGTGTGTTAAGCAGCTGCAGTGTGTAGGGCAGGGAAGAATAAATTGACTGATACAGCACACTTTCTCTTGCATTTCAAGCAGAGGGATGTGCTCTTGTCTCTTGCTGATAAAGCTACAGGCAAAAATAGTCCCTCCACTTCACAGCATTGCAGCTCATTATTACATATTTATATATCACCTATACTACAGTTCTTGGTGACTGTGGGCCATTTTGAAGGTGCATTCCCAGCTTAAACAGCAGTCCTGCCTCAGCTTAAAATCAGTGCATGGAAACATTATATTTGAGACTGCAAGTTCCAGAATATCCTAGTCAGCATGACTAATACCTAGGTTGGCTGTGGGATTCTGGGAACTGTAGTCCAAATCCCCCCCCCAAGCTCTGTTGAGAACTACAATTAGCTTAAAATTACAGCCCTATTTAAATGGAGTCTATGATTCTGGCTAGTGAATTAACATTAAGCCGCCTAGAGTGGTCCAGATAGGCGGGATATTAATTAATTAATTAATTAATTAATTAATTAATTAATTAATTAATTAATTAATTAATTAATTAATTAATTAATTAATTAATTAATTAATTAATTAATTAATTAATTAATTAATTAATTAATTAATTAATTAATTAATTAATTAATTAATTAATTAATTAATTAATTAATTAATTAATTAATTAATTAATTAATTAATTAATTAATTAATTAATTAATTAATTAATTAATTAATTAATTAATTAATTAATTAATTAATTAATTAATTAATTAATTAATTAATTAATTAATTAATTAATTAAT